TTTTGACCGTAAAGCGTGTAAAATTCGGTTTTACGATCGAAAACACAGGACGACAAGAGGCACCTTTCAAGAATTTCCAAACGCTAGATATCGACCTTAAATGGGTTTGTCTGATCCTGTCAGACCAGTTTCAGTTCTGTTTTGAGCTAAAACGAATAATAAGAAATAGTGGTATTTCTGAATGTCTTTCGAAAATCTCCGGAGCTGAGCCCACTCCAGCCTCAAATCCTGGTTACGCCGCTATTTTCTGCAACATACATCTGCAAAAATCTTTGCAGTAACTTTGCACATTCTGCAAAGAACCTCTGCAGATTTGAAGCAGATGTGCCAAGATTTGATCAAAGATCTGATGCAGATCTGCAAAAAATCTTTATAATTTCTTTGCAGAGAAACTGCAGACTTTTATACTTTTGTTTTGTTTGTATATTTGTGTCAAAACATTTGAAATATATGAAATAAATGTATATCCTACAGTCTCACAGCACACTGAAAAATCTGCAAAAAACTGCAGTTTTCCTGCAAAGAATCTGCGAGAAACTGCAAAGAAACTGTAAAGATTTTTTTGCAGGTCTGCATCAGATCTTTGGCAAAATCTTGGCACATCTATATTGCAGAAAAACTGCAGGTTGCAAAGTTTTTTGCAGATCGTGGTTTTTTGGGCGGGTCAGAAACGTGTCTCAGCTCAGGTAGGTTTGATCTGAGCCAAACTTTCAGGGAATGTTGACCATGTTAAAGTGTGGTAACGAAATATTTTTATAGAGCTACTTGCAACTATTCGTGAGAGGACGCCACAACAAGGACCAAAAATAGGCGTCCACCACGTGCAAGGATTCTCATTCCAGGTAAATGATAGAGAGCTCAAATTTGTTTTTTTTTCAGTAAACACCTATGGCTAGAAGTTGACAGAGCCCAGTTTTTGAATTTCTCATTTACTGATTTCTGGTGCTTAGCAGAACTTTAAAATCCGAAATGTTCTTGAAAGGCTCCTTAGAAATGAAGGCTCCTTCTTGGAAGGCTCCTCATTTCATTAATTTAAAAATCGGACTCCGTCAAGTGCTAGCTATAGGTGTTATCTAAAAATCAAAAATCAAAATATCTATCTCCGATGTGTCATTATCGAGAATTCCTACACGTGGCGAAAGCTCTGAAGCTAAAAAATAGTATTGAGAAAAACGTAAAATAAGTTTTGATTCTGTTAAATGCGTTTTACTGTTTGAGCGTTAAATAATTTATTGATACTTTTCTATTTGTTATCGGACATGACGGATCTAATGGACATGCGTGCAGACACGTGCGGATATGCAATTACAGTTACCTGGGAAAAAAAGTTATTTTTTTTGTTATAGGGTGCGATTAAACAAACACCCTGAGTGTTTGTTCTAAAAGACGCGCATATTTTTTGTTAGGTTGGAGGAGGATGCTAGAATACCCCAAAATGAAAAAGGAAATGAACAAGCAAGAAAATAAAGATGTGTCTTCTATAAAATAGGATTTTGAACAAGGACACAAATAACAAATACATTATATTTACATGAAAAATAATCGTGTAACAAGATCACTACTTATAGCTAACACATTTACTTATAGCTTCGAAAAATTACAAAAATTTCTCCCATTATCTGGATTGGTTAACTACGTAGTTAAACAGCAACAATATTGTTAAAAAACCTTGTTTGTTGATTTCTTTATCATAAAAAAAACAAAAACATCTCAAAAGTGTAACTGAGTTAGATTAGTTTTTTAATCAACCTAAAATAAACAAGTACAAATTATTAGATCATCATAAGAACCTATAGTACAAAGCTTACTTCTTCCACTCTCGGTCCACTATAACCACCTGATCCAGAATTATATCCGCCGCCTCCGCTTCTTCCACCTTGCTGACCACCTCCTTGGCCACCACCATGCATTTTTCTAAAATAATCAGATGAATATTCATGATGATTATGATAACTTTTGAAGAATACTCACATCATAATTTTTTGACACTTCCTCTCGAGTTCTTGATAACGATGGTCAATTTCTTCTTTTTCAGCTAATTGATTTCGATCCAACCATTTTTGAGTATCATCACAGATGTTAATAACCGTTTTTTTCTCGCTATCAGTTATATTATTACCATTATAATTTTCAACAGCCTTTAGATATAAACAGATAAGTATCTTGCTAGTGATAAAGATCGTTTATCGTCTCAAAAAAACAGCACACATTTACCTGTTTACATGAATATGCATATGTTTCTAACTGATTTTTTGCATTCACACGTTCACGGGCTCTGTCATCTTCATCACGGTATTTCTCAGCATCCGACAACATTCGTTGTATTTCGCTTTGTGATAATCGTCCTTTATCGTTTTTAATTTCGATTTTACGGCTTCTCCCCGTGCTCTTGTCTTCGGCTGTTACATGAAGTATCCCTTAAGCACACAAGAAAAAGAAAGAATGTGAACATCATTACTTTCTTTCCTTTAGCACTGTCATACCATTTGCATCCAAATCAAATGTAACATCAATTTGAGGAATACCACCTGAAATAAAAAAAATGAATTTTGTATAATGTTAGATACTAAAAATACAGATTATTCTGAAACGTACGTGGAGCTGGTGGAATCCCTTCTAAATCAAATTTGCCAAGTAAATGATTATCTCGAGTCATACCACGTTCCCCTTCGAATACTTGAATCGTTACTGCTGGCTAGACCAGAAAAAAGATAAGAAAGACGTTATCCAACTTTTAGAAGACTATGTAGTGACAATCTGTGTACACACCTGGTTATCAGTATATGTAGTGAAAGTTTGTGATTTCTTATGAGGGATACTTTGATTTCTCTCAATTAATTTTGTCATAACACCACCAGCTGTTTCAATACCCATCGATAACGGAGTAACATCAATTAATAAAACATCTTTGATCATTTCACTCCGATCACCAGTCAATATTGCTGCTTGAACAGCGGCTCCATAAGCAACCGCTTCATCAGGATTTATATTTTTATTCAAACTTTTACCATTAAAATAGTCAGATAATAATTGTTGTACTTTTGGTATACGAGTTGAACCACCAACCAAAACAACTTCTTCAATATCGCGTTTTTGTAACTTAGAATCTTTCAATGCTTGATCAACAGGTCCGATTGTGTTACGGAACATATCCTAAATAGCAGAAAAACAAAAATTACATTGTAGGAAAACGAACCGTAATCATATCACACGTACAATACAAAGTTCTTCAAATCTAGCACGGGAAATTTGTGTATTAAAATCAATTCCTTCAAATAATGAATCGATTTCAAGTGATGCTACTGACGAACTTGACAGTGTACGTTTTGCTCTTTCACAAGCACTTCTTAAACGACGTAACGCTTTTGTATGTCTCGATATATCTTTCCCATGTTTACGTTTAAACTCTTCGACAAAATGCTGCACAAGACGATTATCAAAATCTTCGCCACCTAAATGAGTATCACCAGCTGTTGATTTAACTTCAAATAAACTGCCCCCACTATCTCCTCCACTAATTGTCAGAACCGAAACCTAAAGTAAGGAAAATATGGGTAACTATCCATACTGAAGGTGTTTCTTTTTCCTTACGTCAAATGTTCCACCGCCCAAATCATAGATTAAAATATTTTGATCACGTTGCAGTTTCTTTTCTAAACCATATGCGAGGGCAGCTGCAGTCGGTTCGTTGATTATACGCAATACATTTAGACCAGCGATTGTACCAGCATCTTTTGTAGCCTAAACAGTTGACGAGAATGATAATATGATCATAGCGGTGTTGGTAAGTATATCTACCTGTCGTTGTGAATCGTTAAAATAAGCGGGCACAGTAACAACAGCATCTTTAACGGTTGTTCCAAGAAATGCTTCAGCTGTTTCTTTCATTTTTGTCAATACCATTGAACTAATTTCTTCTGGTGAAAATACCTAAAATAAATACACAACGTATATATTAATATAAATTACTTATTCATTACTTACTTTTCGTTCTGCTTTATATTGTACTTCAATGAATGGTTTTCGATCTTTATTTATGACTTTAAATGGCCATAGTTTAATATCTTTTTGTACAGTATCATCATCATATCGTCTTCCAATAAGACGTTTGGCATCAAATATAGTATTTGTTGGATTCATTGCAGCTTGGTTTTTGGCTGCATCGCCAATCAGACGTTCCGTATCCGTAAATGCTACATAACTTAAACAAAAATATATATAAGTGAAAAAAGGTATGAATGGAATTTTATATAAGTTTAGAAATAGACGTGTATACCTAGGAGTTGTTCTATTTCCTTGATCATTTGCAATTATTTCAACTTTTCCATGCTGAAATACGCCAACACACGAATACGTCGTTCCCAAATCGATGCCAATTGCTGTTGATTTTTTTCTCGACATATTTAGTTTTAATTAATCTAAAATCTTGTTCTATTATATTATGAAAAACTGTATGTATATACTCTATGTATCTATAATATCAATATTAATTAACAATATAATAAGGATGATTATTACAAAATTGTTTAATTTAAATATGAATGACTAATCTATATATGTAAAATTTTATTTTTTATATAAAGCGCGAAGAAAATTAGATATAGTTTTGTATGTGTGTGTGTGTGTGTGTATACACAACAAAATCTAGAAAATTGTAGTAGCCCAAAAAAAGAATACAAAAAAATAATAAAAAAGAAAATCCTATCTACCTTTAACGCAGAAATATACATCCCACTTAAGTGAACAGATTGCTTGAAAGATGATATAAACGTACTCACTATGGTATTGTCCCACTTGTTGAGTGGTTGCGGAAGGAGAAACGAAAGACAAAAGAGGAAAACTTTTTTTCTATTGAATTTTATATGGGTATGCAAGGAAACGAAAGAACGAATGAGTGAACAAAACGAAAAAGAGTGAGACAAAGCATTGATTATGTTCTCTTAATACAATAATACATGACTTTCTCTCGATGCGTGTATAATAGAGTGTCGTACCTATATACATATATATATATGTATGTCATTATAAAAAATTGTCAACGAGAAACGTCTATAACTTACAAGGGACAACACGAATATTCTCGATGTGTCAATATAAATATAAAAAAAAAACAACAAAGAATATATAATTTAGATTAAGAACGAAACAAAAAAATCCATCTCTCCTCTCGAATTATTATTATTGTTTCCGTTTTTTTTTAAACGTGCAAAACATATGTGCATTACCTTTTGTAGTTAAAAGTCATTGACCCAACAAGGTGATGCAGATTGCAAAAGGAACGTTTATACACCTGTACTATTCGTTTGCTCGTATGTAAAGTATACGTATACTGACACGTGCTATTTCATTTGGTTTTGTTGACAATGAATATTAATGGAAAAAATAATATTATCAATTTGCCAGTTTTGAGAGCTTACTCCACTAGACAATTTGTATCAATTAAACTTCTTTAAAAAAAAAAGAACTCTTTTTGTTGATCAATAGTCATATGAAATATAAGGCATCGATTATCGAAATGATGAGCCATATTAGTGTTGAATCCTGATGCACACACTTTTTTTTTCTGTTAAAAATCAAAAATATTTTATTTACAAACAATATATAAAAAATTACGTAAAATCTCTACAAATATACAGCCCATAAAATATCTTTCTGTTGTATATGTAAGAATTTCATTCAAGCAGAACTTCGTTGATATTTCGCTTTTAATGCTAATATTGTTAAGCTAATTAATCGAAATGATATAAATAGAACAAATAAAAGTCCTAAATCTCTGTTGTAATGTGTCTACAAATAAAATAACTATTACTATCGTGTTGTTAAATTGAATTAAAGTTTAAGACAATTAGAACACAATCGACTAGATTTACAAACGTAGAAATATGAAATATTGAGATTCTCAACAATATTTTTTGAAGTAAAATTTCAAAAAAATAGCTTCTGTTTGATTGTAGAAATTATTTCAAAAACCGATATGTTGAAACTTTTTAAAAATCCACTTTTTTATTTTAGATAATCTGCAATTCAACAGTTTTTCCCATGAGTATTCTGAAGAATTGTTGCTGACAAAGATCTCATACACAAAAAAAAAGTTATTATAAATTCTGTTTCTAGAATTCTATTTCATCTTTAATTTTGAGAAAGGCAGTTTTCTTCCACAAGACGTCATATTTTGTATGATCTTTCTGTGAGATATTGCTACACTCTCTATTACAGTCGTTATTGTTTCATTAGAATTTTAATGTTAAATAGACTATACTTAGAGGGAAAAGTAGACATTTGCATTAACAGGACTTAATTTCTTGACAGAAAAATCATACAAAGCATGAAGTCTTGTGAAAGAAAAGTGTCTTCTTCAAAATTAAAGATAGAATAGAATTCTAGAAGTAGAATTTGTAATGTTTGTTTTTTGTGTATGATATTTATAATCAAATAGAAGCTATATTTTTTGAAATTTTGTCGTTGAAAATATTTCTGAGAACCTCAACATTTCTTGCTAATAACTCTTAATCGTATGATCATTTGGTTTGTAAAATTAGTCGATATTATTTTAATTGTTTTGCATTTTACAAACCTTTGAAAAACCATATAATTTAAGAACATCATTTCCATCACGAAAACACGTCGTATTTGAATTTGCCTTTCGATTGCATTGTAGATATTTGACATCTGTCCATTGATTGACCAGCGCCATTTCATTTCCATAATAGAACCATGATATATATTTAATCCATATTAACCATTTAGGAATAGTCCTATTTAATGTGAATAATGATAAATGTAACTACTGAGTTTTTTTACAACTATCTTTAATATCTTACTTTGCATTTATAAAAAAGCCACCAAACACCATCAATGGTATAACTATTGGCACTACTAGTGCATCTGCTACTTGAAATGTTGGCGAGATCACCGCAATTATGGATCCTACAAACATTTAACTGATTTATGAACTTTTAAGCACAAGTGACTTTTCATTACAATCGTTGGAAATCTTTTATTTACCTGCTGACGTTGCAACCAATTCTGTTAATATAAGAATACCCATTAGAATAAAATATCTTCTTACATTGTCGTATAAATTTGTTAACCAATAGACGATAGTCGCCAGGATAAATGTTCCTAGTGCAAAGACGGGTAATTCAATCAGAAATCGTGAAATATAGTATGGAAATGTTCGATAAATATTATCATCATGTTCTTTAAAAAATACGGGATATTCTCTAGCATAACTCTAAATTAAAAAAAAATATATATATATAGTACTATATTATCAATACTGTTTCTCGTCTTACATTTGCAACAGCTTTTAGATAAGTGAATGATATATTAATTAACAAAACAAAAATAACAGAAGACATATTTTGAGGTGCCTGTTGATTATATTTTAAACGGATAAAGAGTAAACCAAGCATAACACCGACTATCTTTGAATAAAAGAGAAAGGAATTATTCAGATATGATATATGATAAACTGCATTCTCTTACAACAGCCAGTATAAGATGTAATCGTAATTCAAATGGATTTTTAACCATATTTTTAAAACTACGCCACATTAACCATCTTAATTGTGTAAAAAATCCAGCTTTATATCTAAATATTAATTATAGATCGGTGTTAAATATGAATAATAATAAAAAAAATATTTACTTTGGCGAACTTTTGAATAGTCCAGATATTGTTTGATCATCTTCAATAGCGTGAAATTGTTGTACTTCAGCCACTCGTTGAGAATACATTGGAGAACGTTCATATTCGTCGCAGATATACTAAATTAGACATAACAATCGTAGAACTACATAAAGGAAATAGAGAAAAGGAGTAGCCAATAACTTAAATTAGTAAGCACCGGTATTTATCGGTTACAATTTTTTGTGTTTTTCACAAACAATTTTTTATAACAGAAAAAAATTTAGAATTTATTTAACCACTATGTTTTGAAGAGCAAACATTTCTCTACAAAATAAGACATGACAATACTTTTCTTCTTGATTCGCGAGTTATATAAAAAATGTTTACTAAACGCTCCACGATCAGTAAAATTGGTTTATCAAGAAGTCATTGCAGCAACAGAAAAGAGATGGAGAGTTCCACTATATCTGATTCTGTAAAAAAAATGTTTGCGCTGCAAAACTAAGTCGCTGAAAAACTTTAGTATATTATATTTTTAATCAATCTGCTTGAAAAAAAGGCTAAGATATATCAGTAAATATCGATGCATGCCTAAATGGAACCTTCATGCACAAGTAGTTTTCATCTATATTTCATTTGATCTTCGCCTAATATGGACTCTTTTTGATATACAAATCAAAAGAATTTTAATAATATTATATTATCAATTTAAGTCTAAGTGAACGGATGCTTTTTTTACTCTATTCAGTATTAATTACCTCAACTCTTTCCAAGCACGCTTCACGATCATAGGGTAATATTGCTAATGTTTGAATATAATAGTCACTTGGATTATACTTTTCTGGAGGTGTATAATCCAACCTATTAAATGATGGAACAAACATAAACAGAGAACCCAACCTTTGGTTTACTGTTTAAAAAACGTACCGTCCAAAAAATTCTTGTGCTTTGGTCCTCAGACCAAAATATGCTAGTCGACCTTCTGCTAAGAGATATAATCTAAAATGTACAGTAAGAAAAAGATGACTTATATATATATATATACTGGCAAGATCGATGAAAATACTAAGCAGCTTACGTATCGAATAACTGAAATATTTCACTTGAAGGTTGATGAATTGTACAAACAATCGTTTTTCCTTGATTCGCCAGTTTTCTCATCGCATCACTAATAATAAATGCCATTGAACTATCTAGTCCTGAGGTGGGCTAAATGTACATACAAATTCTACTGAATTACATATATGACATAATTTGTGTCATTCAATACCTCGTCAGCGAATAACAATGGAGGATCACCCAAAACCTAGCGCAACGAGAAAATTAAATTACACTACTCTTCTCCAAATATCTACTTCTTTACCTCCGATGCGAAGGGATTTTTCATTCAGGACATCCACATGACTCCCAACCTAATACATCATTGTGGACAAATAAATATGTTAAGTTAGAATGTTCTTCAAAGCATGTTCAGATCTTCTATCCTTGAATAAAAATAAACTTATAGATGACTGATGCAATTGGAAGAAAAATATTGCAGTATTATAAAAGCTTTTAACCAAAAATTTGAATTCTCTGTACTTTATAACCTCCCCTCTTTTACTCGCGTCTTTGACGGAAAGTACAAAATGTTAACCGACGTTTTTCTCCACCACTAAGACCTTTGATTCGTCCTGGTGTACCTATAAGTGTTTTCTCGACCTTTTTCAAATTGAGCTACAAAAACAAAAAATTATTAGAAAAAACTGTTTTAGATTAGCTAAATGATAAACTTACAAAATCCAGTACTTCTTCGACTCGTAGAAGACGTTGTTCTTTTGTCATATCTTTGTTCATTCGTAACATTGCCTATAAAACATACTCATTTATCACACAAGTAAATGGCAGTTTTTAGTTAACATGTAGAAGTTCTGTCAGTTGTGTATAGGGAAATTTGCTGATGCATTTTAGTATCATTGCAATAGAAAATTTGTCATTAATTAACTTACATGAAATATTAAATGTTCACGAGTAGTCATCGATGGAATAAACAATTCCTCCTGCTGTACATAGCCAGCCACTCTCGATATATTTCTGCCCATTTTTGATCCGTTTACTCGAACGTCACCAGTAATTTTTAACTTTCCTGGTCGACGAGCTGTCAATACATTCATTAATGTTGTTTTACCAGCTCCACTAAAATTAATTTCATGACTATTGATTGAAACTGATTACTTTCATCATTACAATCTAACTTACCTAGCACCCATGATTGCTACTAATTGTCCCGGTTTAACGATTCCACTCACTATAAGTGATATTAGAAAGTGATGTGTGGAGTTTTCTACACAGTATTTTCTCATTCTAACCTCCTTTAAGCAATTGTTTTGGCTGTCCAACTTCTCTCCATGGACAATAAGTTTGTTTTAACGACCGCATGCATCCAGCGTCTTTCGGTGGTGCCTCCGCTTTCAAGTCTAGCCATGTTAATGTGACTGGTGGCGAAGAAAAATCTATTTTTGATATTCCCCCATCATCGTCTGATTGATGGAAAATTTCATTTGTACCGTTTCTATCCTCAATTTTTGACCGTTGTCCTCGTCGTCGTCTTCGTCCTATCGTCGGAGTTTTTCCATACGGTACCCCACGGCTGTTTTGAAGGCCAGCTTGTCGTCGTAGATATTCATACCATTCAAGATTTCGTTGGGTTATTGGATAATGTTTATCTCTCCATGATCGATGCTTTAAATGATTTCATATAATAAATTTCGATAGAGTCATGCATTGTATCTTTTACCTGTTGCCGTAAATAATCACCAATATTATTGTGCAAATCTTTATTCACTTGATAATTCCAAAAAGCATTTGTAGCTGGATCAGGTACTGGCTGTAACGCCTATAAGAAGAAAAATTGATGTATTACATAACTCTTTTCCACAGAATTATACAAAAAGAATTGATCTTACACATTATCAATCAATTTATTTTAGTCCATGATGTTAATAAAATGACAGGGTAATGACAAAAGGACAACAAGGAACTTGTCTAGGTCATCCCCAGTAAGAAACAAAAAAACCAAAAACAAGAAAAGAGATATAAAACAAAAACAGTTTGAACAGTAGAAAAAAAATGGCACAGTAAATAGAATATGGCTTAGTATGTATTATTAACTGCTCTAAGAAACGAGATGTTTCTTTATTGCACGTTTAAAAGCTCGAGCACTAAAGGCAGCAATCACTTCTCTTGGTAATTGATTCCACTCTTTTATAGTTTTTGGTAAAAATAAAGCTCTAGTAGTTTTACGTTTTAACAAGGGAACCTGCCAGAGACATCGATTAGAGGTCCGCAAAGATGTTCTAGTTGTAAGAGGCTGTATTAACGAAAAGCGCGAAAGTGCACTACGTCCTGTAATAATTTTGTGAAAGAAGATTAACCTGAAAAATTTTCTTCTTTGAGCAAGGTCTGGTAGTTTTAAGTTCGTGATCAAAGAGGAGCTGTCGGATCTATAGTCATTTGATATCATACGCGCAGCGAGTTTATGAGCTGATGTTAGTAAATCGAGATGCGTTTTGAAATCATTGTCAAATACTACACAACAATAATCCATTACTGGCAAAATACAGGTTTTATAAATATGCAGTCGAATAAAAGTAAGAGCAGATCCGAATATTCGATTCATAGCGCCTAACATTTGCCTGCACCTCCTAGCTGTATTTTCAAGATGAAATTTTCATGTGAGATCTGATGAAAGATAAACTCCTAGCAATTTTATATTTTTTTCGACCATTATTTGGTTCCCACTTAACAAAAGAGGTGGAAACTGCTCCGGTGGTTTTTGATTAGAAAATGGCATATAGCAGCATTTATCGATATTTAAATCTATCTCGTTCGCACACCACTTCGACATAATGTCTAGGAGGTTCTGTACCTCGGATAAATCAGAAAAGTTTTGTAACGAGACTAATCCGAAGACGTCGTCTGCAAATAAGGAAGCCGTTACCTCAATAGGAAACTCTAAAACAAGGTCGTTGATGAATATCAAAAATAACAGAGGACCAATCACACTGCCCTGAGGCATTCCAGATGTAACCAGCGCAGGTTTAGATATTTTATCATTAACTATTACTACTTGCTTTCTATTACTTAAATAAGATTTAAGCCATTCTACAAAATTCCCTTCTACTCCTGCTTTGTGTAGTTTTTCTAACAAAAGTCTATGAGTCACTGTATCAAAAGCTTTTGCAAAGTCGAAAGCAACTCCTACTGCTATTTTTCTTTCTTCTAAAATATTACTTAACCTAAAAGTTATATGTAAAAGAGAGTCAACTGTTGAAGAGCTTGGCCTAAAGCCAAATTGTACGTTAGTAAAAAAACGTTTTTCATGCAAGTGACTAAGTATACACTTATGAATAAGAAGCTCAAAAACTTTGCTAATATTAGATAAAAGAGAAATTGGTCGATAATTAGAGCACAGATTTCGTGCTCCCTTTTTATGGATTGCTTTTATTATCGCTTTTTTCCACAATTTCGGAACAACTCCTTGTGCTAATGATAAAGTAAATAAGTGATGTAATTGTGGTGAAATAACTTCAGAGCATAGTTTTAAAAACTGGACATCAATACCATCGATTCCTACAGATTTCTTGTTTTTACGCTTCGTAATCATATCGTTTACATCTGCTATAGTAAATAAAAATGTATTTAAAAAACGTTGGTTACTTTTCTGCATATTAGTGTTGCTAGTAGACGGAGAAGAAGGTTAGATGAAGGAAATTTTTTTTTCTGTGACATACTAATTTCTGTCTAATTTTCACGTCAATTAATAGAAGTAGTAAAAAGTTCTGTATAAAAAATAAGAGTTTAGCGCATCTTAGCGCGATACTAAACATAGGAATTTGAGCAAATGTCAAGTTGAGATGGCCAAGTAACACAGGTTCTGTTTTTTGTTTTGTTTTCATTATGCGTTTCTATTCTAAGATTTATAGGAAAATAAAACAAAGACCGTTTGAAGAATAATCTCTACTTCTCTTTTCCTCGATCTGAATATGTATATACGGTTGAACAAATCTAAATGTTGTGTAAATTATAAATAAATATTATGAATTTATTCGATAAAATATCCGATCTCTGCGTAAGTTGAAGTTATTCACAACCATAATTCTAGT